TTACGCTATATCCATCAACTTGCCACCTAAACCAAAATATGAGAATACTAAGTACATTTAGGCATAAAATAGTCATATGAGCGCATTAAATAAAGATGTAAAATGTTTATTTTACATTCCTATCAATAAAATCGATCCTTTTACTTAAGACTAAGTTTTATTTCAATGTACGAAGTATTTGTAAGGATGCTTGCATGAGACAAAGCTTTGACTGCTTGCTCGTGGGTAAGGCTTTGAGGTGCTTGCATGAGCAAGATTTTGATTGCTTGGACGGGATAAGGTTTTGAGTGCTTGGTCGTGGGCAAGACTTTGAGTTGCTTGAATGGGGACAAGGCTTTGAGTGCTTGCTTGTGGGCAAAGTTTTGAGGTGATTGTACTGGGTAAGGTTTTGGGGTGCTTGTTCTTGGGTAAAGCTTTACGGTCCTTGTATGGGGCAGGCTTTTGGTGCTTGCTTGTGGGTAAGGCTTTGAAGTACTTGTATGGGACAGGCTTTGAGGTGCTTGCTCGTGGGCAGACTTTGAGGTGTTTGCTCGGGTCAAGGCTTTGGGTGCTTGCTCGTGGGCAGAGCTTTGAGGTGTTTGCACGGGGCAAGGCTTTAGGTGCTTGCTCGTGGGCAAGGTTTTGAGGTGCTTGAACGAGCAAGGCTTTGAGTGCTTGCTCGTGGGCAAGGCTATAAAGTAGCTTCCGATAATAAGAAACCCACTGTTTAGGGCTCGCCTTTTATGGTGATAAAATCACGAGCTAGGGCTCTCCTTCGATAATATAAAAATCACGAGTTAGGGCTCGCATTCAATAAGAAAATCACAAGTAAACCAAGAGCTAAGGCTCTCCTTCGATAATAAGAAAGCCAAGAACTAAGGCTTGCTTTCAATAATAAGAAAATCACGAGATAGGGTTCATCTTCAATGATAAAAAAATCACGAGCTAGGGCTCGCCTTTGATAAAATAAGAAAACCAAGAGCTAAGGCTCTCATTCGATAATAAGAAAACCAAAAGCTAAGGCTTACCTTCAATAATAAAAAAATCACATGTTAGGGCTCGCCTTCAATAGGAAAATCACGAGGTGAGGCTTGCCTTCAATTATGAGAAAACCATGAGCTAGGGCTCTTCTTCAAAGATGAGAAAATCATAAGCTAGCCCCAAGGTGCGAGGACTTATGAGCCCACCAGGCTCTTCAATTTTACCAATATTGGTTGGTCATTCGGTCAAGCACTTAGTGTGTATGAACCAAACGTTATTGTAATTCAAAACCAAATAATCATTGCATAAGCATGAGCATCGATGACACCAAAATATATACTTTTTAAAGATTAAAACACGGATCATATAATGTATGTTGTCTAACTGGTGTCTTTAAGGATCCATAACATTTCTCCTGGGTTTGGAGCTGGATATTGTGTTTTTCCATGGTAAAATCTTGACTTATTCGCATTATCTTTAGTTTCCTCCTCAAAAGTTGAAGGTCTTGGAGTTGGCCCTCTTGAAGATGGAAGCCCATAATCATCATTTGCACCCAAGTTTGAGTTCTGGGCATCCCCCACCATTGAGTAAAAATTAGTATGACTGAAACTGGAGCCTCTTGAAGTTGGATTCCTTGAAGATTAGAGTAAATTTCTGCATTGGTTAGATTTGATGGTCTTAGAGTGATTGATGAATCAATCATGCTACATGTACATAATCATTCATACAATCTTACACCCCCTCACATGGAGGGGGGTCCCACACACAATAAAATATTTGCGCACACTATTCATGTGAGACAGGTTTACGTACACCTGGTATACAAACAGTCTTATCCTTGATGAATACCCCATTGGTCTTCTTGGGAAAATATATGATCTTGATGCATTTAATTTTTGTATAGTAACATGAGGTTACCCGTCATCTTTAATTCGTGCCTCAGTCTCCAAAGGCTGCCAAATGGGGATCATGCTTCCAAACTTTAACAATTATGTAAATTCAATGCTCAAAATAAGGTAAATAAAGCACTTATGAAATTAATTATTTTTAGACTATTTCAGACAAATCAATAATATTTAATTTTAGATTTTTATTACTTTATTAATTGACGAAATTTCTGTCCATTGATTAAATTATTAAAACGTTTATTCTTTAAATGTGACTATTTAAAAATCAGCTCATAATTTTAATTAATTTCTTAATTTTTATTTAATTATCGACAGCATGTTTGATGTTATAAAGGTAATATCTATTTTTTAAAAAAAAATATTTTTGTTACTTATTTAACAATGACAATTCTATTGTTAATTAAATTAACTTTAATTTAAATAATTTTTAAATAATCATCGATGAAAAATTTATTTATTAGTCTTAATTTTTAATTTCTATTTGGTTACCTACATGTCTATTTCCTTCGTTAGGTTTACAACTTTCTAAGTTTCATTTTCTTTCCAATGCTTTCATTTCCTCCATTACTGATTCTTTCCATTTGGGCGATTCCAAGGTCTCCCGAAAATTTCGTGAAATTTCTGTTTTATCAAGATTAGTAGTAAAATTATGAAACCCCATAGATAAAGCATAATAAGATATGTATTTTGAAATAGGATGGAAAGTACATGACCAAATTTGTTTTGTAAGAACAATAGGTAGATTATGATCTAGAGATCTAAATTCCTTGGAGGGGTTCCCATCAGGTCGTATCATTGGTTCTGACTCTTTTAGTGCCTCAGGTGTGAGGGTTTTCTTATACTTTGATTTATGCTTTCTTAAGTAAATCAGTATCTCCTTGCCTCTGTTTTTCACCATCTCCCCCTGGATTCAAATTTCCTGTATAGGGTACATTAGAAGGTAGGGGTGATGGGATCTGTATATGTTAGGTCAGGTGAGGAAGGATCAAAGTCTAAGAATTCCCGATTTAAGAACCGATTTTCATGCAGATTCTTCTATTGAAGATAAGGTTTTTGGAAGTAAGGTGTTTTTTCGAAGAAATTGACATCGAGGCTAACAAAGACCCTTTTGTAGATGAGTCATAGCCTTTATAGCTTTTTGGAGCAGGTGAGTACCCAATAAACACACACTTGAATGCACGTGATTTAAGTTTGTTTCGATGATGAGAGTGAACATATACAAACGTAGTACTTCCAAAAACTTCTAGAGATAGATTTGAGCTAAAATGGGAAGTGGGAAAGTATTTCTGGAGTCTTTGTATAGGTGTGTCGAAGCAGAGAGTGAAACTAAACATTCGGTTGATGAGATATGCAGATGTTAGAATAGCATCTCCCCATAATGTTTTTGGCATATTTTTAGTGAACATTAGGGCACGAGAAGCTTCGAGTAATTGTCAATTTTTTTGTTTAGCAATCCCATTTTGTTGGCTAGTATTGACACATGAACTTTTGAGGACTATCCCATGTTTTGTATAGTCTTGCAAGGTGGTATTAAAGTATTATGTGTCATTATTAGTGCGTAGAATTTGAAGTTGTGTTTGAAATTGGATTTGACTCATAGAATGGAAGTTTATAAATACTGAGCGAACATCAATTTTTTCCTTTAGTAAGTAGAGCCAGCATATTCGAGTGTGGTCGTCGATAAATGTGACAAACCATTTGGTTTGGGTATGGTTAGTATTGCGAAAAGGTCCTCATAAATCACTACGAATCATGGCAAATGATTAGCATAGTTCGTATATGAACTTAGAAAAGATGTAAGCTAATATTTTGCAAATTCACAACTTTCAATAGATGTTTTATTCATGAAAATAGAAAGGATAACACGTTTCAAGTATTGCAAGCTAGGATTAAACGTGGGCTCGGTCCGGGTCCGAATGGAACCATTGATTCCATATCTAACTATGGAACCGAACCAACCGGTTCCAATACGGTCTGATACGGTTCTTTACATTAAAAATGTCAAAACGAAATGTTCACTAATAAAAATTCAATAGATACTTCCAACACAATCCATTTTATTTATATTCTTTTCGTACATTGTAAAAATTTTCCATCCTACGAATTAAAAAGCAACATATATACCAAACTAACTGGAAACGACACAACCTCCAAACATTACAAAAATTAATGATACACGTTAATGTAAGAGATGGTGATCATTATACTACATTAATTTGCAGCTATGACCGCAAATAAACACATTCGTTTCACAAATTTAAAGTTTGATAACAACTGTTCTGTTTCTATTTAAAATGGACCGTTGAAATTTTTTGATTAATGACATTAACTTTTTATTGTCCATTTATTGAATTTTGTAGGAGATGAATTGCAGATTTTATAATGAAAAAGCATAATTATGTTTTATTTTCTAATCTATCTTCTTCATTCAGTATTCCGCAAATATAAAAATCACAGCATCTCTTCACAGGAATAAATGCAGAAACCATCAATTTCTAAAGCTTATTAGTAGAGTTAACCTATTTGTACAAAATTGAGTTACAAAATGGTTGACAAAATATGTGTTGGCAAAATCTGAACCAACGATTTCAAAAATTGTTTTTTATATTATTGGCCCAGATCTTGCCAACATATATTTTGTCAACCATTTTGTAATCCAATTTTGTAGTAGATAAAAATCTTATTTCAGTAATTCCTAAAGCTTGTTAGATGGAAATCTCCAAGAAAATTGATTTTTTCTAAAGATTGAGCGGGAGATTTTTTATTTCTTTTTTCTATGTTTTGCACTTTACAGCTTGGGAATGAAATTATATGGTATTTATAAAATTATTTGGTGTAGATTTACCCAATCTTGAATATCCTAATTTGGCTTGAGAAGGAAATAATCAATTAATCAAAGAACTAAAAGAGAAGAGAGAAGGAAAGAATCAAAGAAATTGAAGACAAGAAGGAAATTGAAATGAAGAAGGAAAACGTGATTAACTATTTCAGGTTTGATAAAAATAATAAAAGTTTGGGATTTTCATATTTTGCAAAAAAATAAAAAAAATAAAAATAAAAAACTTTAACATATCCGAGAACGGGACCGAAACCGGCCGATTCTCTGTCATATGTCCCAAAATCAAATTGTTTCTTAGCCGAATTGGAGTCGAACCGATCAGTTCTAATAGATTCTGGTCCTGTTCCAACGATTATGGGAAAAAAATGCTCACCTCTAGATAGGATGACTCATTCTATTGTGCCATAATAAAATGTCGCTATCACTAGAAAAATATGCTGAATTACAATTTAAAAGTTGATCTAGTTTACACACATTAGCTTCCTCAAAGTAGTTTAGACTCTCAATCTCTTCATCACCCTCTATCGTCTTCCTTGATGAAAGGTTTTGAAAGACACAATATGATGGGTAGAAATTAGCAGAGCAATTAGAGGTTTTTCTTAACAGACTAATATATAACAAGTTACACAACAATTTTGGGATGCGGAGGACAGATTCCAAGGTTATGGATTTAGAGATTTGAATACTCGCTCTTCCTGCAACAAATATGAGTGAGCCATATGTGATTTTTACTTTAATGTTTCCTGTAACACCCCAAACTTCACTTTACCCATTCGGCCAATATGATTCATGTATTACTTGCTATTTACATTGCCAGTGCATCAATAGTTTGAAATGGTTTTCTCTTATAATGGTGCAATGGGTCATTGAAGTTTAAGATCTCTATATGGTGCTAGTCTTCGACCTCCCGACCTAGGTGGTGAATCTTATATTGAGCTATAGTAGAAATTTAGGTTAATCTAAATGTTGGATATTGATGGGATAAACGACTGTAACCTTGAAAAGGGGCGGAAACATTATCGGTAAAGTTACTTGCTTTTATTTTGGTTAATCGTCGTTGCCCTAAATCCCTAACTAAGTCTTTAATATATTTGGGGCATGAGCATGAAATAACATGATCACAATACTATAATATAAGGTTCATATAACATTATAAATTTTGAGGCTCAAATTGTTGAAGTCGGTTGAGAATCGGGCGCCAATCGAGTAAGGAATCGAACGAACGGTTAAAGAATTAACTCTATAAATTATTTTACGATCCTATGGAAATTAAATTAGGTTGTAGACACACTAAGATAGGCCAGATACACTTGGTTTTCTACTACAATGATGTGTGTAAAATCAGATTTTTACTACGAAGGACATGGCATGCTTGGAAACACCTCATGCTTGGTGACTTGTCATTTTAACCTTCAATTCCTTTGACTTTAAGGCTTCCATCACGTCTCATAACCCCTTATTACTTCATATAGGATAGATATATATCTTATAAGCCAATATATATCCAAATAGGAGAAGAGAAAAGTCAAATATTGCGAGAAGAAGCCACCTCCTGCTTAACATATGTCATGTTTGACTGCCTACAACATTTTCTTAATTCCTAAGCAAGAGTTATGACCCAAACGCCTTTTAAGACTCTATATATACCTCATACTATGTTATTTAGCCTTTCAAGTCATCTCCAAGTGACCCCAAGTGAAAGAGAAAGCAAAGGAAATGGAGCGAAGCAGAAACAAGAAGCAGAAAATTGAATTTGTAAATAGGTGAGTTTAGCTCACGGGTTTGAAGGTCATTTTCAATGTTTTTGAAGGTATTACAATCTCTTGAGCCCCTGAAATTTCTTGATATTTTTTTGGGGTTAGTGTTTGGGATGTTATTATGGCAAAAAGAGAGAAAAATTGTTTGAGATATATTGAATAAAAACAAGTGAGGACAGGAATTGCATAGTTGCTAGATTCTGCCTATTCAACCTTTGATTTGGGATAATACATAGGAGATAACTTGTACTATATATATGAATGCCTTTATATGAAAGTTAGAAGTATAATAAAGGATTTCTAATGACCTAGAATTTGATTGGTGGCATGCTAATACAACGGAAATTAAACGGTCATAGGGAAATTGCCTGATTTGGTGTTCTGTAAAAATGACTGATTTTCAGGTTGTAAACCCTCTACTTGTGGTAATTTAATAACATATTTACCTTTACATATATGTTATATAA